AAATTCTGCTCTTCAGACTGAAAAGGAATGGGAGATCAGCCACAGACAAGTGTGCTAGTTTAGCCTGTCCCTGCTGCAGATTGCACTGTTTTGAAATCAGTTACAATATGGCACGTATTATATTATTATACACATTTAGCACATTGTAGTAGCAAGTAAATGAGCAGATCACACTGTGTGTATCACCTCTACAGGATTTTCTTCCTGCTAATCACCATTGTGAAGATGTGTGATGATGAGGATTTAGGATGTAGTGTGAAGGAGTATCTCATTAACTCCTTTAGCACTTTAACAAGGAAAGACTTGAAAGAGAGGGTTTATATGATGGCGCGGGGACTGAATTTTCAAACGATCACATGTGAGAAGTCACTTAGTTAACAGGTTGTGCTAACTTCAGCGAATGCTTTTGCAAGTTACACCACCAGGATCTGTCATACGTAATATTATAATAATATTATATTATTTTGGTTTCCATGTACCCCAGTTTTAAGAAACTAGAGACACACAAATATTCGTGTATTTAACAACATTTTCAAAACTAAGAAAGCTGTATTTCTGTAAAATTAAACAGTGGTGATAACAATATGGCCTATTAATAATTTTTTTTTAATGCTACATTACATAAAGTCTGGAATGGCTTTAAAACTGAATGAACAGACATATTATTTGGTATGAAGATTAAAATTAACTTTAACTACATTACATGCCGTTTTTATTACGGACTTAAAAGAGAGTTTAGAGTTTAATACAATTCCCAAATATTTATGACAGCCTACAACCTGCAGTTTTTTCCTCCAGATATGTAAACATTAGATTGTACAACAGACGCCTTACTTGGTGAAAAGCAAACACACTAACTGAAAACAAGACTAATTCAGCCATATGGAAACATTTAAGAGAAGATCTGCAAGTTTGTTGGTTGTTTCAGTTTCATTATTACTATACACAAAGAGCAGTTCATGCTTGTGTGTAATTAGCAGTGCCATGACATTCACCTGTGATACAAGACTGAGAATAGAAAATGTTTATATTTGCTTTCAACTGAAGGCCAATTTCACTATTACCACTGACAGTGTGTGACTGGCTGTGTCCTTTCACACATATTTGAAAAACATTGGATTGAAAACAATGCAATGCTGGACGGCATTACGGTCAGTGTGAGATCTATAGTCCTGAGTGACATAAGGACAAACTGTTTTGATGACCTGTCAGAGCCAGAGGAGAAATGCATGAACACAATAACAAAATAGAAGTGAAGTGCACGTGCAGACAATAGCAGTGTGCACGAACACAATGAGAAAGGCTAGCATGGGTGGGGAAATGACTGAAGTGCATCAAAGAGATCAAGAACAACTGTAAAATGCCCAATAGTGCTCAGACACTTGTAATTTTATTAAATGCCTGACTTCTTTACTTGCTTGGGTTATGGGCCATTCTCATGGTGTGGCTTTGCAACGTTTACTAAAGGATCTGAAGTAATTCCTGAACTGTAGTTCCTCACTATCAGCTAGTGTTTCAAAGTGTATAATTACTACAGAAGGTTTTTTAAAAATGCATATGTCCTTTAAAATTTATTTAGCCAGTAATGAAATTCTAGAAAGGTGAAAAAATAAACTTAACAAAGAATAGTGGAGCGAAACACACAGCTACACACATTTCAGACTTACCTAATGGTGTCATTACCGTAGCACCCTATATCACCAATTCCTAAGTCATCAACAACCATTAGAACAAAGTTGGGCTTCTGGTCAAATCCCTTCCCTGTGACATCACGTCCTGTTGTCAGGAGCAGGAAGAGAAAAGGGACCAACAGGACAGACCTGAGAGCAAAACACTGGTTATACGTCTGAAGTTCTCTTATATGTGATTTTAGACCCCCCCCATATCTTGACAATCAGGGGTCAAAGAAACACTGACATATTTTCCGAACCCAAGGTTAGTATTTTTTATCATCATTGGTGATTAAGACGTCGATTATTCGATATTTAAATAAAACCTATATGAATTCATCAGATTTCTGGACTCCGTATTAGGTTTTGGACTTCGAGCAAATAAAACTTACGATTTCACTTTGGACTCTCTTGCGATTTCACTTGTGACGTGCAACTCTTTTTTGTTTTTTGGATCACGTCTTACATTTTATATACCAAACCTTTTTTCTTAATGTATCAACGTGATAACGATTCTTAGTTTTGGTTATAAAACGAATCCATAATATGACTACTGCTGTGATACGTGTTTTGCAACAGTGGCAAATGTGTAAAAAAAAAAGTGACACATAGGTGCTGCTGCTCTGAAGCTCGAACTGTCGGGAGAGCAAAAGTGAAATCAGATAGGTGCCTTTTGTCTTTTGTTTTAATTTGAGCTCTTTCAACGGGCTCTTACCGTAGCTCGTGTGAGAGCAATTGCATTTGCAGTTGTCTCGATAAGCAGAATTTCTTTCCCATCCGAACTCACCTCATAATGGGCTTTCACATTCATGAATCCATAAACACAGGAGTTCCTTCTTAGCTAGATTCGTTGGCCCCGCCTCGCTGACTGTACAGTACTGTTTCAAGCATGAGCGCAGAACCTTTATTTGTACCGTAATGTAGGACATAAAGGCACAAAAAACTGCTGTGGCCTGCAAGTTACTGGTCGACACCCCTTGTTTTTGTCTCATACTTTATAGGTGCACTTTTTTACGGAGCCCCGCAAGGAACATGGGAGAAAAAAAAAATTACGATGAACTTTTGCGAGATCTCGCAAAACTAATTCGGGATCTCGCAAAACTTTTGCCGTCTTAATTTTTTTTCCTGCCATGTCCCCTGCGGGGCTTCGTACTTTTTACATATCTTTATCTACTATTATTTTTTCAAAGTTATGATCAATGAATAGTTATTCAGTCCAGTTTAAAGAATTAAGTGGTTTAAGTGGTATGGAAATGCAACATGTTGCAAACTATAATGGGAAATAGATGTCAAAAACATAACTATAGCTCTTTTATAGTATATAATAAACTCATGGACTTATAGGGCATTTGTTATACCTCAGAACATCTATTTGTGAGGGATATTTTTACACTAAATTATTCTCTTGTATTTTTCATGACTCATTTTATCTCGATACCAAAACAAGACCTTTCATGAGAAATCATTCTACCTGATTAACTTGTTGGGCGCAAACTCTATTAGTCACTACCTCGTCTCCATAGTCACCTTCACTGCTTTGTTTAATTGGACGGCTTACGGTTGGTGTGGGCGTAATGCCTTGGGGGGGTACCAAATGTGTTCATGAAGATAGGTGTGTTTGGCTTACCAACAAAAACATTATGGAACTTCCCACATTCTATCTCTGAGAAACTGATCAGGTGTGTCTTTATAGACCTGTCACAATAAATCAGTTGCAACGGGAGAATTATTATTGTGTGGCTGTCCTTCTATAAATACCTGACATATCTTAGATTTTTTTTCTCACTGAACTTTATTAACTTTTCGACAGATCACATACACAAAAAGCCACAAACACAAAATAGAATAACTTTTACTGTATTTAGATCGTATGTATGGTAAAATAACAGTAATTGAAGCTTACTCATTGGTCACAACCACATGCTCATAAGACCCATAGGGCATTGGTGTTTACCATACAGAATTGCACTCCCTGCCCACTTCATTAGGTACACCTTACTACTAGTTGGACCCCCTTTTGCCTTCATAGCTGCCTTAATTCTTTGTGGTATCAATTCAACAAAATGCTGGAAACATTCCTCAGAGATTTTTGTCCGTACTGATATGATAAAATCATGCCGTTGCTGCAGATTTGTTAGGTGCACATCCATGACAACAATCTGCCGTTCCACCACATGCCAAAGGTGCTGTATTGGATTGCGATCTGGTGACTGTGGAGGCCATTTGAGTACATTGAACTTATTGTCATGTTCAAGAAACTAGTTTCTGATGATCTGAACTTTGTGAAATGATTTGTTACCCTGCAGGAAGCAGCCATCAGAAGATGTATACACTAGTTATAAAGGGATGGACATGGTCAGCAACAATACTGCGGCAGGCTGTGGGATTTCAGTGATTCTCAGTAGGTATTAAGGGCTGAAACTGTGCCAAGGAAATATTATATTCGTTATAACACCACCATTTGGCCTGAACAGTTGTTAGAAGACAGGATAGATCCATGTTTTCAGTTTCAGTTTTCATTGTCCAGTTTTGGTGAGCTTACATGAATCCTAGCTTCACTTTACTGTTGTTAGCTGACAGCAGCAACGCCTAGTGTGTTTTTCTGCTGTTAAATTGCAGATAAATTGCACTTTTGGAGATGCTCTTCTGTGTGGCTTGGTTGTAACAAGTGGTTATCTGAGTTACTGTTGCCTTCCTATTACCTCAAAGCAATCTGGCAATTCTCCTATGATCTCTGACATCAATAATGCATCTTCACTCAGAGAACTGCTGCTGATTGGAACTTTTCTCTTTTTTTGGACCATTCTCTGTAAACCCTAGAGATGGTTGTGGTGTTTCTGAGTTTCTGAAATGCTCAGACAAGACTGTCTGGCACCAAAAGGGTATCTTAAATCACCTTTCTTTTACATTCTGACACTCTGAATTTTAGCATGTCATGTTGACCATGTCTATATTCCTAAATAAATTAAGTTTCCAGCATGTGATTGGCTGATTAGAAATTTGTGTTAGCACGTGTACCAGATGAAGTGGCCAGTCTACATGTTTGCCATTAGATTTGAGCACATTAACAAACAAAACATACATTTTAGAATTAGCAATAAAAACAAACACTGCTTTGACTAATGGGAAATCTAAATACTAATGTATTTTGGCATAAACCAAAGTAATTGTCAAACTACAATAACTTTAGATGGTGCTAATTCAATTAATCTTCTGGTGACCTTGAATGTCCGTTCTACAATAATCCATTACATCACTGAAGAGTTTTTGATGTATACCAAAGTGATGAACTGGTCTATCAACAGTGGCTAAAAATGAAAGAAAAAGAAATCCCACAAAAACTGTTTAATTGATTCCTCAAACATTATTTACACAACTCCAGAAGAACACAAGTGCCAGATGACAAAAATAAAAAGGACAGTTCCTACACAAAAACCACACAGAATATTTAAATAAACAGGAAGTCAGAAGAAGAACAAATGAATTGTCTATATATGTGTAGTAAATCAAGATGTATACAGGATAGGAACGTGCTTCTCCCATTGAGATTACAAAAAAAATCTCTGCTTGTGTCGCTGTGTCGTTTTTTTATGATGACATTATTGTTTGTTTTCCTATCAGGAATATTCAAGAGCATATAAGGAATAAGGCAGGACTGGTCAGTGCCATGATTGATGCCCTAGTGTTATGTGGCAAGTGCACTTCAGGACCCAATGAGTTTACAACACTCAAGGTTTACATTCTGGTTTGAATGCTTTGTTCTGATACGTTGTATTGCTGGGATCAAGCACCATGAGGTGACTGTAGTTGTGAATTGATATAATATAAATAAGACTGAATTATTGACCGAGAGTGTTTCGGCAAAATGTATTGTTGACCATGATGTCCTCAGTGCAAGCAACGCATATCGAATTTTTCTGGATTATTGTACGAGTCTCCATTACAGGAAGTTATCTAAAAGAGCATCGCAGGACATTTCAGTGCTTTTGTTCACTGCAGGGCAGTACTGCGTTTAAAGAAAAAATTTGTATTTTGAAGGCATCGGTGGCTAGTCCTATTTGTATTATTATTATTGAGTGGGTATTTTTTGTGCATTGTCACTCCTGATACACTATCTACGTAGTTCAGTGTTACAAGAGAAAACAGCTTTTGTCTGTCACAGATTACAGGTTAAGAAGGCAGATCGCTGACACTGCGTCTGACCCACAGTTTGTAGAGTGGAATTGATCACAGATTATTAACATTTCTCAGCTTGAGGCTAGGCTGTTAGCAACAGTCTCTGTCCTGTATTGCAGCTATATGGTGCTTTACAAGTAACACACATTACATGACCTGCAGCACTATGCAGCCTCTATAGCTATATATCAAAGTTTAAAGGGAGCAGGGCAAGTACAAAACTTCAAGGCAACAAAAAAGACATTCAGAAGTTACGATTTTTTTGTGTGTGTGCTACATTTGGAAAAAAGCAGTAGCGCTGCATTCTTCGCATTTTACAATAATATTAACAAAATAGCACAGCAAACAAGTTGACTAAAGACAATCTGTCGGCTCCGAGGCACGGCTGCTAAATGTAAAGGATTCCTATAAAAAAATCACAAGTGAATGGCGTTTGTAATGTGGATACATGAACAATAAAAATACACTGTTACAGCAGCTGGCTTGCTCAAATAAAGAGACACACAATGAGAAGAGTTTTACATCTGCCACCAGCGGAGGTGGTTGAAAGAGTTTAGATTGCAAGATTAGCTAAAATAACTAAGACTGCAAACGGCCCGACTGTGGACACACATACAGCAGCTGTTATGTTTGTGTTGTTATTATTTTACATGCATGAGCAGTTTAATTTTTAAAAATGTAATTGCGTAAAGGACAGATTAAGAATGAATACAGAACACTCTTTCATTGTTATAGCCTCCTACTGGTTTGCTTGTCTTCTCAGTAACAGATGGGTAAAAAGTTAAAGGTTGACCCAGCATTAAGGGTGTTTAAAGTGTTAAGCCAGTTCATCACACCAAACTGACATCAGTTTGGTGTGTCTCTGGAACTATTGGAGGAATAAAACAATATTCTTCTGAAAAAATATTCCCTCATTATGTATTTTGATAACGTTGTTGGAGACCTGGGGGGAGATCTCGGACTGATAAGTCCATAGTTTATGGATCCCATTATTTTCATTCTTACCAAGCAATTAAACAGGCAATTTGGATGGGTGTATTTTCATCTTGTAAGAGACTTCAGCCATCAAAGTGAAATGTTTTAAATTTAGAATAGCTCAGAAATTTGAAATTTGAAACAGCAACAAAAAAAATCTCCCTGCAGCATAAACCATCCATTTAGGCTTTTCCTTTAATTTGTCACCCTGTATATCTTCTCTGTGTGTCTGTAGATTGCTCAAGCCAGGCTGTGTCAGTGAAAGGCACTATAGAGAAAAAAAAAAGACTGCTTCACAACTACACACATACTACATCAGAACAAAGTCTAATACATTACTACATGACCTCCATTGAATTTGTCCATGTCAGGTGACCATTCATCCATTTACAGAAACAACACTGGATTAGACTTTACTTCATCGTACTTTAGTAAGTTTACACAATATATTTTTGTTGGCTTGTTTTTGGTATTTCCTAAATTAATATGACTTGAATCTTAGGCTGTATTTGATTTGTGTCATCTTTTAATGTATTCAACCGACCGAGGAGAAACGGTCACTTAACAGGATTTTAAATCAAGCCCCTTCACCTATCAGAAAACAAGCACACACATTCAGTGACATCGGTGGTCATCTAAACACATTTGACCACGCATCCCAAGAATACTCGTCTTTAAATCCTTTACCACAGCTCCTAACCAGACTCCACAAAATGCTTGCTACTGTGTCCCCCTGTTATCCAGTTAACCTGCATCTGTACTATAGATAATTGAAAAAGAAATGTCTTATCTAAATGATTTAAAATCATACGGGCAGTTCAACAATGGCAAAATTGTATAAAATTCCAAAGAAACAATTACAAGTTAAACACCTACAACATCGATTTCAGTTACTGTTTTGTATTTACATTGAATTAATAGTAGCCATATAAATAAAATTAAAAGGTAGGTATATAATTAATCCATTTTATGGTTATACGTAAATTGAGATTAAATCTCTTTAATGGCCACTCTGAAAAAAATTATAATAATTTGGTTTGAAGTAGAGTGTTTGACCAATTATTTTAATACATTTTTTTTAACAATAATGAAAGCCCTAAAGATCACATGATCTTTTTCTAGCTCCTTCTTTCCACATTTATGCACACACAAGAATGAACGGATATTATTCACACGCACACTGAGACACATCCACGCAAGCTCGTGTAGAGCAACATACAGACATAGAAATTCAGACTGAAACACGCAGCCCTACTCTGGGGCCTCACAGTAATTTAGCTCTACAGAGGACAGAGCCGAACAGTGAGATTGCCACTTTGCTAGACTGTAGTTGGCCCGGGCGGTAAGGTGATCGTTTCAGGTCTAGGAGGAGTTCAGAAGGTTGCTAAGAACTGTAAATAAAGAAAGAAGGAAAAAAAATAGATTAACGGTTAACACGTTTAAAGTATTACATGTGAATATTTATATCAAAAATGTGTTCTTTGCGTTTTCGTTGTGTGTGTGTTTGTCATACCCTGGGGATCTGACCGAGCCTCTGCTGCATCAGCTTTGTGTGGAGCCTCAGGGTCTGCTTCTAGTCACAAAGATTGACAGTCAGAGAAAAGCGAATAAAACAAACGTGGGAACTCATTGCTCAATTGCAAGGTTGTACTGCCAAGTTGAATTTCGCAAGTATTTAAGCAACAACCTCCAGAGCAGAAAAAATGAAGCCAACGTGCAATTGCCCAAAAAAATTGCAATTCCTTAAGGCTACAATTAAAAGTGAATATATGCTCATAGATCCCCACAAGGCTTATAGTTTGCATGAAAAAGGACAGCTTTGTGAGCACTACTGTATTACCGCCTGTCTGCTAGGCTTCACTTTCGCTGACTCAAACAACTGAACTGGACCCAAGTTAATCAAGATCAAAATGCAGAACTCCTATACAGCTATACTATTAAAGTTGAGGTTTCAAAATTAAGATTCGCAATCTGTGAATCTGTGACATCATGGTGGATATGCCCATCCTTTGTATACAGTCTATGATTTAGCTTAATAATGTTTCTACTAATTAGCATCAAGTTATTTCGTCCCTTCTCTCAAATATGAGGAAAAGCGTTCATCTTCCTTCAGTGTGAAACTGCTTCACCAGCTGTACAGAAGTATGAATTTCTAAGGATCTTGATTTCTTGGGGTAATTGCATATTATCCAAACCATGAAAATTAGTTTCTTATTTTTTGTGTCACAGAGGAAAACTTATACCTATTCGTGAAGTCTTTTAAATTATTGTTAATGAAGCAGCTGCAATTACCACCTCTGCTCTTTACAGAGGAAAACTGCATGTCTAAATATGTTTAATCAAATTAAAAACACATATTGTCTATTACTCTAAATGCTCAAATTATAAGAGTTACTTTGAATCTGACTACTGGCCTGCACTGCTATAAGTGGATGCCCTATTACTCATGTTGATTGCAAATGAAAACTTTGCTGAACTGGCAGTAATAGGATGCAGGATGCGAGGATGGTGTGAGTCGTATGTCACTGACAACAGTTCATGAAAGGGAGCCAAAAGCTGAATTTAAAAGAACTGATAAACTTGAAAACCCGTGCTTTTAGAACTACAAGTAACAAACACACACCTTGCCCACTGGACACAGTTAGGATGAAACTTGATTTAAAGCGGAGATTCAGATAAAAGATGAATAATTTTCTTTTGTAGCGTCATTAAAGCTTAACAGATCTGAAGCTCTGATGGGGGTTGGCATTCATTTCAAAGAGCTTGGACATAAGCAGTTCTTCTGTTGCTAATGTGGGCACCAAACTGAACAACAAACACAATTTTGGCATACACTTCATTCATTGTTGATGAGGGTCAAGAAGAATTTCTTGTCTGGTCAAATACCAAACCTTGCGTACAGCAGTTAAGGTAGCTACTGTATAAATTGAGTTTTCCCTTTGATTTATTATTATTAATTAGTTTTCCAGCAGCAACAAAAGGATCAGATAATTACCCTGTCTATTTTTGAAGCACAGCTTCTTCTGTTGATAGGTGAAGTATCCAGCGATTGCTCCCACTGCAGACACAACAATCGCACTAAGGATTGCTGCTAAAGAGCTTGAGCTGGCCTCTGTAGCACAACAAACAAACAAAGGGATAAATAAAGATAAGTCATAACAGCAGAGAATGTGCAGTCAAGTTCAGCAGTATCCTATGAACATGCCACTGGAACTGTAAACCTATTGGTCTGAGCATTAATGTGATCTGTGAAAATCCATCTATAACAACTGTAACTGTAACACTGAGTGTCAGCACTGGGTGCCATTTTGCAGTTGAAAGAATGAATATCAATTTAGCAAAGAAGCTCACTGACATGACATAATGTGTGAATTATGTGTGTACGTGTGAGACAGACAGGGGGAAGGGAAGGAGAGATGAAGAGCAAGCAACAGTGTGTGTGTGTGTGTGTGTGTGTGTGTAAGCGAGAGAGCGAGGCTGCATCATCTCGTTCCAGAATTTTCTGATTCCTTTTCATTCGTCTGTCATTTAAACTTCCCACAGCATTCACAGTGAGCATTCACAGAAATCTGTCTGCACCTGTAACCCAGTTACTATGACAACACCAAAATGAATAGTTTTCATGCTGTGTGACAGCACACAGCCAAGTATAGGTACTGGCACATACATCACTAAATTGGCTAAATTGTGAGTAAATGTAATTAATTGTGCATCTAAATAATGTTTTTAACAAACAAAAAGGTTTAAGTAACCCCATCAAACTCATTGTAATATGTGGCTACACTAACACTACATATATCTGGCACATGATTTCATGCTGTTGTGTTTCCAACTTAAAGGCGAGGCTTTTATTGTTTTGTTGTGGCCTGAGTCGACAGCGAGACTTTCAGCGCTACAGGGGTGAAATTGATGTTGAGGCATAAAAGACAAGTTCGAAAAAAAAAAAAGAATAAAAGAGGACAGGAGATCCAGAGCTCACGGCGAGAAAAGCAAGGGAGTGGCATGAGTCAGAAAAGTGAGACGAATAAAAAGTGGGAATTAGTCAGTTAAATTAAGTGGAATGAAACCGGAGAGTATAGTGAGTCAGAAAAAGGAAGTAAAGGTGGGTGGAAACTGACGTGTATGAGCATGAATGCGCATAAACGCATCACATACAGCTGGGACACAACTGTTTCTTGACCAGAGGCATTGACATGATATAATACTAAATGACACTGACTATCATCGAAATATGTTTTCCATATCTTCAATAGAGTCGCTCCTGTAATTAAACATTTGGTCACTTGTGAGTTAAACCTTGAATCCATTTGGTAGATTCTACAGCTTTTGCTTCTTTTATAAAATTATTCTTAGATGTTTTTTAAACTTGAAAGGAAGGTTTAACCATCAAACCTACCAAAGCTACTTGACTACACATAATAATTAAAGTTTTACCTCCCTTTACCACTACAATGGATTCTAAATTGAACAATCAATATGCGATTGAAATGCTGACTTCAAAGCATTAACTGTTTCGGAATTACAACCTGTTACAGTCAATCGAAGCCACTATACTTGGTTAATGAAAACACTTTACAACATCTAGCCAAGTCAAGAACACTCTCAAGGAAGTAGGTGCGCCTTTCTCAAGGTCTACAATCAAGAAATGCCTTCACGAACTCAGCATTTACAACAAGGTGTGAAGCCCTGGTTATTCTCAAGAACAAGAATGCCAGATTAGCTTTGCTGGAAAACATCTAAAACTGCCTGCAGAGTTCTGACAAACATGGAACAGATTAAATAAAGCTGAACTAGTACTATGAAAGCATGGAGTAAAAGAGAAACAGCTCATGAACCAAAGGCATGTATGGCTACCAAGGGGAACGGATCCACTGGTATTTACTGATGATGTGACTGATGAGATAGCCCGTCACAGTGCAAATAGATAAAAACACAAAGCATACTGCAAAGCTACCCAAGAGTTTCTCAAGGCAAGAAATTCGATAGGGCCAAGTCAGTCACCTGATATCAACCCAGTAGAGCATGATTTTCAGTTACTGAAGACAGAACTAAATGCAGAAATACCCACAAATAAGCAGCAACTGAGAGTGGCTTCAGTAAAGACCAAGCACAGCATCTCAAGTAATGTGACATTTGGTGATGTCCATGGATTCGGGGCTTTAGGCAGTCACTAACTTCAAAGGATTATCGCCCAAGTAATAAAAACAGTCTTTGTGAGCCTCTAAAAATGGGACCTATGTATAAAAATGTTTCTAATTCAAAATTAAAAGTCTGACTCTTTAATTTAAAATCCACTGAGCAGTGCATAGAGGCAAAACTCCAAAATTTAACTGTAGTGTTAGAAAGACAATGTAAACAGACTATAATTAAAAGTGACTGAGATGACCCGATCAATAATGGGGTTGTAATTAGGGTGTTGCTGTGGGGCTTGAATCATTTGCTACCAAAACATTCTGGTAATAATCATCACAGTGAAGTCATAGTTGGCCCAGCAGCGATTCACTTCTGAAGTCTGTGTCTTGTGCACAAAGACTTCAGAAGTGGTGCTCAGGACGCTGTGAGCCCCAGAAGTCAGTGAATATTTAGCAATGCTACAAATGAGTAATGCTCATGTATATGTGTGCAGGTTGGGAACAGATTTTTGATCAGTGAATATGGAAAGAGATTATAGTGAAAGGTTGAGAGTCTTAGCCAACTAAGTTACATGTAGGTTTGTGGCACACGTGGATTGTTACTTTAAAATAGGAAAACAGAGGAGAGAACTCACTTTGGGGCTGTTGATCTGCTGTAAAGAAGAGAGAACACACAAAAAGTTAGCAACACAACAACATCACATTCAGTTGTTCATGGTACACTTTTTATATCCTTTCATCTGCTCTGATATGAACATTTAATTCTACTGTTTCACATACTGAAATTCAAGTTATTTCCAATAAAATTCGATGTGACACACCCCTAAAGACCTGCTTCAAACACGAGAGAGAGGCATTTCTCTGTGACTCTTGTATCCTGTTTGCATTGACAAAGGCATGCCAGTAATATCCTGTCTGTTTCAGAACCACATTGGGCCTATTTCTGCTGCTGCGGCTACGATCCTATGTACGGTATTTGACTAGGATTTGCACTGTAATATTTTGCTATCATGCGTATTTTTGATCACAAAGACAAACAGAAAAAATTAAATCCTTACCACCGCTCTCTGAGGCACCCAAAGGAGGCACTAAAGAGAGACAGAAGGACAAGAAAGGAGAGAGAAGGTATTATTTAAATGCTCTAATGATGCATGTAAAGTATTGTTGCTGAAATGACAAAGTGGAAAAAAGGAAGAAAGGTGAGATTATTCTCTTTACAGTGACTTGTAACCTCAGGGGCATTAAGAGTTCTAAAGTTTCTGTCCTAACTAGACTGTACAAACACACACACACGCTCATGCATACACAAGATTGTATGAAACATCCCTTATGTACAGTTACAAAGATGGCAAAGATACTTTTATAGCATCAGAGCGATAAAATATCTCACAGAGAGAGAGCGAGAGAGAGACAAACACTTTCTCCAGCTCTTTCACAACCTGATCTTTGATTTTATCCACACTCAAACAACCCTGTTATCTCCTTCTGCACTGCCTGTCTGTATATGTCTGTGACATCATCCTTGCCCTTTACTTGCTTCGACTTGAAGAAGCTGCTAATAACAGAGTACTAAAGAGGAGTCTTTCACCCTTCGCAAGTATATAAATGATTATACTACTTTTGAGTTTTCACATTTCAGGAGGGAACTGAGAAGCTGCTTCAGGAAAATCTGCTGTTCCCACATTTCTGTCATATTGCCGCAAGGTTAGTGATTAAGCTTTTGTAAAACAAGTCAGTTCAGCACCTTGTCATGGGAGCAAGGCACTGAACCGACAGCCTTCTTCCAATAGAGAGACAAGAGGAATGAGAAGAATGTTTTATGAAAACCAAACTACACCTTACTAGCCCCTGATTGCAATGCTAACTTTGTACATACACAGGACATTTTTAGTTTGGATACAACAATAAATTCAACCATAATAGTTATGAATGAATACCAACCATCTTGGCTTTTATTTTCGTCGTTTGACAGAGGTGCTAAAAAAATAAATGAAATAAAATTAACAAATACCGTGGATCAATAAGAAAATGCAAAATTATTCTCAGAATGGGAATTTCTTATCAGATGTTTATGAATACATATCACAAATCTAACACACTATAACATGGTGTTTCTGTCCCCCTTTCATTGGATTTAAATGGGAGCTGCCAGCGTCTTGAGCTCAGTCACATTTAACTACACAGTAACGATTAGCATTTGGTTTGACTTAAACAATATCATGCATAGTTTATACACTTCTTGCTGGTTATGTTGTACAGGCGCTAACAGTATGAACTAATTTTGCACTGAAATGCATTAGTGTTAATATGAATACATTCAGTGGTAGATGTACTATACAGTAGGCTAAACACCCACTAAAATATTGACCACTATTCACAAATAATAAGTACTCTAAGAAGTTTCAAATCCCAATTTAACCCTTGCTCAAGACCTACTGTGAATGTGGTGCATTAGCCCTGTTGTACCAGGCTCTAGAGCTACCAGAGGACCATCTCAAACCCCAGTCTGTGATGCAGTTTTCAAGTGATCAAGTGCTAAAAAATGTTTGGTAGAGGAATAACTTTGTTATTTTTTTTAAACCTTTATGAAGATGACAACAGTCTTGTCACTAATTTCCCCTGTAATATTTTACATCTGAATGGCTTTAAGACTCTAATTTCACCACTTAAAAATAATAGATAATTAGATGATGGCAGCTAAGGCAAAAGCCTCAACTGGATATACAAATACAACTATTCATAGTTGATCCCTAAGATCTAGTCGCTGTCGTAAACAGGGCTAATCTCATTGCACTGGTTGTGTTGTTTCATATCTTTATTTATTCTGGACATTTTCGGTTATTGGTTACAAGAATAAACTGAATTTTAATTGTTATGAGCAATTACTAACCACCTAACTCCTGGTGTGTTACCACCCTCTTCTCCACGGGACTTTCCTGGTTTAACCCTGTATATAGTAAAATAGTCAATAAATGGATGAATAAATGAATTAATTAATCAATCAATCAATCAATCAATCAATAAATTAGACAATCAATAAGCCTGTTAGTCAATCAATCTTGCCAATGTGTTTTTAAAAACATTGAAGCAAAAAGCATGTAGCCCTCCATGTCGATGGGGCCATGACAGTTGATCCCTAAGAGATGGTTATTGGTTGTGACACTAAACTGAATTGAAATTATTATGAGCAATAACTTCCCAACTTCCAGTTACAGATGGGAAGCGCATCTGTAACCGGAAGGTCGCCGGTTCGATCCCCGGGTGTTGGGCAAAGGGGCAGATGGCGCAATATGGCAGCCTCGCTTCTGTCAGTCTGCCCCAGGGCAGCTGTGGCTACAACCGTAGCTTGCCTCCACCAGTATGTGAATGCGAGAGTGAATGAATAGTAGCATTGTAAAGCGCTTTGGGTGCCTTGAAAAGTGCTATATAAATCTAATCCATTATTATTATTATTATTATTATTATTACCTGAATTCTGCTGTGGTCCCATCCTGCTCTTCACGGGACTTTCATGGTTGAACCCTGTATACAGTAAAACAATGAATAAATGAATGAATGAATGAATGAATCAATAAGCCTGTTTGTCAGTCAATCAATCTTGCCAATGTGTTTGTGAAAACACTGAAATAAAAAGCATGTAGCCCTCCATGTCGATGGGGCCATAACAGCTGATCCTTAAAATCTACAGTCACTGTGGTAAACAATGCTACTCTCTTTGCATCGCATAGATTGTACTGATTTGAAATTTTCAGTCAAAACTACAGTTTAGGCTAAATCTCCATCAGTATCTGTTCGTGCTGTATTGGACAGGTACTTCTGTGCATCTCCATTTGTTTTTTTTTATCAATAACAACAATAAATTCAACAGCAATTATTATGAGCAATTACTGACCATGTGTTTCCTGCTCTGCAATTGACGTCTTCTCAATGTTAAACCCTGGATCTGGTAAATAAACAAACAAATAAATAAATACATACATACATAAACAGAAACACAAAATCAATCACTGTACAGGAATTTTATCTAGATAATGCCAAAACATATTGAAACACATGTAACACACTGTAACACTCTGTTCTCAGTCCCTCATGACCCTCGTGAATGCCCTGCAGAGGTGTTCTCAGTACTGAAATACTGAAACACAGCCAGCTCCAAGGGTGTAACTGTGATCTTGTGAACCAATGTTGACTTAGATTAAGGGATATTGTCTGTCACGAACAAAACCTTACCCTACTATATATTTATTGGGGAAAACCCAATTGACTTAAATAACATGTGGGACTCAGTGTACATTGTTAGGCTGGCCAGGGCAGGGTGGGGTGTGATCACCGCATTAATTTATCACTGATAGAAACCTCAGTGACCTATTTTCTAGGGACCTATTCTTTCTGTTAATAACATCATGAAAACAAATGCAATTAAAATGCCAAAATAATTTATTGATAGGATGGATGTTAAATAACAAACCTACATTACTCTCATTCTGACCCCCACATCTTTTCTTCTTGTCTGAATAGTTCTTCCAGGGTAATTGGTCCAAATTACTAACTTCCTTTCCCATCTCAGTGCTTGCACTTCTAGGGACAAGCTAAGCTAAAGCACAATGTCTCTGTCTAAAAAAAGGTAAAGCCAAACATAACCTCAGAATAGGACATACTGACATGAGGTCAGCATAACATTTAGCATGAAAGAGCACAAACTCCAATTTGAGAAAGAGGGTGTTATAAGATAAATAGAAATAAATTAAGGGAGACACTTCTATTTTCATAAACCTTTACTCGGGTCATTTGGCAGGCTCATGACATTCATAATTTGGAAGATAAAATCAGCCAAGCCAAAATCCCACCTTAGAACCTTCCTAAGGGAATTGTATTTCCTGATAGAAAGGCACAGATGGATTATTTTGTTCAGAAAACAGGGAGTTGCAGAAAAAAATATAGAGTACATTACACCTCAAAAAAGCATTACAGCATGTACATATTTTTTAATGAGTGACAATGCAAAAGTTCTGTCAGGAGTAATTTTATTAGTCCCAGAATCAAAGAATCTCTCACTTGAGATCGAATCTCAAATTTAAAATATGTAGTTATGGCCATAAATCTAGAAAACAAAACTGCAAGAATGAAAGGCATTCTTCAGATCTGTTTGATTTGAAGTCTTTGCTCAGGGACAGGCAGCGCTGCCGTATCTTCAGAGATTATGGGAAAACCCCAAGATTCAACTGATCATCTTAAGAAAGCTCTAAAAAATGTTTCTGCTCAAATGATTTTCAAGCCATGCAGATCCTCATCTGTCGTTTCTGTAATTATTTAAAATGCTGTAAATGAACATTTCTGAACATCAGCTTAACTTGCAAGCTTCTGTGCATTTCATATAACTGAATTTAAGGAAAATAAAATGTCTTTAGGTCTTGTTTAGAGGTTATATGATCAAAAGAAGAAGGAGTCATAATGCCAAATAATAACCGACCTGCATTTGCAAAGGGCAAATACAGGTATGTTTATTGTCTGTATGCTATTATTTGTGTATATATGAGGCATATAAAGGTCTCTTTATACTACTTGTTATGACTTGCAGTTCTACTGTCACACAAAATACATGCTTATACTGGAAACAAGGGACAGCAGGTGACGTTTTACTAAGAAGTTTGTGTAATATCCCATCATAAAAGACACTCAAGAGATGGCCTCATCTACAGAATACATGTGCTTGGCTCTGTTTACAACTTTTTCTCTGTGGTCTTAGCACATACTCATTTTCAAAACTCAGGTGCATTTTCCATATTCATGAATGCATGTACAAGAGTGTGCAAAATATGTACTTGAATATCTTTACTTACTTATAGTGACAGTTTCATCTGTGGTTGTGAAATCATCTGTGGATGACTCTTCATTAGCAGATGGATCAGTTGGTGCCTCCTCATTGGCTTCTAGACCTACTGTTGTTATGATGTCATGAAGTCCACTCTATTAAAAAAATATTATAACACATATGAACCCATAGTACAGGACACATTTACTCACTATCATAGCAACCTATTAATGAGATCTGTAAAATACAAACCTTAATAGGTGTGAATAAGAAGTTTTACTTTTTAAAAAAATGGTATTAACCTCGTCTTGAGCAGGTGTTGTATTCGCATTTGTGGTGGGTTGCACCTCCTCATTAACTGCTGTTTGCGTAGCTTCTGGAGTGTCATCCTCAGAATCAGCAGCTGGCCATGGATAGAAGTGAAACAGAAGTAGCGAAGCATTAGTTCACTGATTTTTCCTTTTATAGCCCAATTACCACATTCTGTGGCATGGGCTTTTAGGGCTTGTTTTGCTGCACAGTTAAAAACAATACAAGAAAGACATGTAAGAAACATTTTACATTATAATAGCCATTCCTTCAAAGTTACATCATTTTTTTGATGTAATAGTGCAAAAGTTGAACCTGCTTTTTGCTGCAATGAAGAATGAAGATTTTTATTTTTAATAAACTGCAGCTTTGCTGTGAGATATTAACTACCTGAAACATTTTACAGCAGAGAGGTAAAAAAAAAAAAAGAAAGAATAAAAACAACAGTGTAGTATGAATGCCAAGTATTAAAAAGTGAGGAAACTGACAGCAGTTTATTTATCTAACAAAAAAAGAGAAACAAAAGCACCATGTTTCATTATTGCTTTAAATGTGCATATATGCAATTCTATTAATCACCTTGTGTAGTTGTAGGCGCGTCAGAAATAACTGGTTCTGTTTCTCCAGTCGTAGGACTCGCTGATTGACCCTCCTCCCCTGCAGGAGCATCTGTAGGCACTGGCTCTGTGCTTACATCTGCAGCATTTGCTTCTTGGATTAATTCAGCCTCAGGGTCAGCAGTGGGCTCAGGCTGCAATACTTCCTGTTTGGCACAACATTTTATTTAAATAAGCAACGGTCTATGTAATACTAGGTGAGATTTTCAAACGGCTGACAGGGACCCAGGACTGAACAGTTCAAACAAAATATCTCAACTTCTCACCTCAGTTGCAGTGACCACCTCCCCAAGGTTATGCTGGTCGATGACCTCTACATCTGCTTTAGATGTGGGAGTTTCAATAGATGGCTCTACTGTTGGGATTATATCATCTGCACAAAGTTAAGTGAAAGACGCAAGTCAGAGAATAATACAGTGTGGGATTACATACTGACAATCAGTTGGAAACAGATGGGAAAAAGCCAATTCATGGTGCCACAGCTGGCAGAACCTGTACAACAAGCTTTTTTAATCAAACAAAAAAGGCAGACATGGCGACTCAAAGTCCACCTCAGTGTCTCAAAGAATATTTTTCCATGCTTTTGAACCCATAGAACTTCCCGATGATACAATTCCCTATTTTGTACCTTTTCTGTTTGAAAACCAATGCAAGGAATATCGCATTGGTTTCTAATATAATAATATAGATAATAAAGTTTCTACTAAAATTTTGGCATGATTTGTGTAACCGCTGATTATTAAAAAGCAGCACGCCTTAATCGCCTTCCATCTGTTGCTCCTCTAAGTCATTAAAGTAATCTGAGTGGTGTTTAAGATGACACATACATAAACTTAGAACCACACCCTGGCCTGACTGGTGCCTGATGCTATCGATCCAGCCAAAAACAAACAAAAAAAACCTGCTTCACATACACATCGATCACTTGTGACCTGCTTCCACATCAAATGCAGTCTTAACCTCAGCACCGGCATTGCAACTCTGTGCTAATGAGAAAATGACAGAGATGTGCTCTTTGTCAGTCTGTGTGTGACAAGCAATGTGTGCGTGTACGCCTGTGACATTCCCCCGTCGCATGTGACAAGCTCAAGCAGTAAAGTGAGCTCTGGCTTGATTGTTCTTTGCTTGCTGACGTCAGCAGCACCCTGATGCTGGTTTATCTGAGCAGATCTTCTTTCACAAAACACCCAATATTAAGGCAGGACTGATTAAAAAATCTAATCAAATACCTCTACCACTTTTTTAAGAGCTATTCATTGCAGGGTGGATTTTCAATAAAGAATCACGGGGCTTGCCAAGTGAGATTGTATCACAATCAGCAAAGCCTGGAGGGAGAGCAGCAACACATCTAAAGTATTTCCATCGGGGTGAAAATCTTTTAGTGGTAACAAGTACTGGCTACACCCTGAATCCATTCATCCACACAAACATACATTCATATTGCAGGAAAAAAGAAATCACACACACAAACAAAAGCAAGTGCACACACACACTGCAGCATGAATATTTGACATGCAAACTCTCATGCACCACTGCATGGCTCCTGAAACCATCATAGAAAAAAATCTCTTTGTTCCACTGAATATCACTGCACCAGTTTAACAAACATTAATCATTTTCCATACATTGTGCGCATGGATATGTGTGGTATGTATCAATTTCACTATCTTAATCAGTTCTTTGGAAATTACTGTCTTCAGCAAAGATGTGCTGTAGCATGCCACTTCAGGCTAATGGGGTGGAACACAGTTAAGATTGAAGTTGATGAGTCTCACCAGAACACCTATGATGAGGCACAGAAAAAACACTACATTCATCAAACTGTTCCTTAGACAGCTGTCAGTAACCTTCTGCCACAATCTTATTAATAATCTCTCAAACCATTAACTCTAATAATGAGTCTCTATTTGTGTGAGAACGCAGTGTGTATGAGACATGAGGATAAAATATAATTCCCCCAGTTCTTGTGCATGTGTGTTTGTGTTTATGAGTGTGTAGAGGCTACCCCTCTATGCAAACTCCTTCTTGATAGAACATTCTGTTCCCATCTATTAGTTTGCCACTTCCTCGTTTAACTACCTCTCCCATAAGCATTGCCCAGTCCAGCAACACTTACATGCATACATACAAACTCATGTAATGTTCCCTCCTCCCCTCCTGTCCCCTATATAAACAGCTACATGTTCACACACGTGTGAAGTTCATGTGCACACATGTTCCCATTCACCCTCGCTCTCTGAGTAAGGGGAGCCCTGTTTTGTGTTAGCACAGCAGTGAAGCCAACTGTTGCACATCCCAAGCGCTCTCACTCCTTGCCTTCCCTATCGCCCCTTCCATTTCACCAAGTCTCGACTCTCTCTCTCTTTCATTGCCGCTACTTTCCCTTGAGGCTGATGAGTCATCTGTGTCTCTGACATGGCCGCACGCTATTGTGTGGCGCAAAACAACTGTGCTAAACTGCAAAAATATTCCCTGAGAAAGAAGTTCCTAAGTCAAACCAGTTCACCCATGTGGGAACGTATCTTACTATCAATTAGACTGGCGGAAAAATCTCTCTAACAGCACCTAGAAGCTCATTAATTAACAAAAATTAAAGTGTAATAAAGAGAACTTGTCTTGTTGGGTTTATGCCGTCGCTGTGAGTCGCTGGAAATGAATGCCGCCACTATTAATTTTATTATTATTATTGATTAGACTGCTGATTGATTTTTTTCAAATACTGACTAATTTAATTGGGTAACAGAATGAAAGCAGATGTGGGAAATGTGGGAAATGCCTGATATAATTTCATACAGCCCGAGTGACATGATCAAATGTCTTGTTTTGAATATCTGTGCAGCTACAAATGGCAAGTATTCAACATTTTAGATATAAGTGAATTATTACTTAATCATTCAACTGCCAACTACATTTATATCAAATAATATACTGGCAATGAGCAGGCAGTTAATTGATTATTTCTAGCTGCTCTCCTGAAAAGGACGACTCTTGGAAAAGACATATTTCTGCCTATAACTCCTGGCAACTTCTAGCTCCGTGAGAGAAATTTTATAAGCATCTTTCCACACAGCTCATTTCGAGTCCATCTTCACCTTTCCGTGTTACATAACCGGCAGTTTGCTTTACTACTTTTTTATATGACATGTATCTAGAAAGAAGAGTGATTGATAACAGCCTTCTGGATCTATGCCAAAATGTAAGAGTTCATCCTGAAGTATGCTGTACCTCGCCTATATAATTCAACCAAGATGAAATTGTAATATAGCACTTAGGATAGCAAACTGATATGGGCATCAGCTTTGTCATGGTGGCACTCTGGCATAAATCAACATGCTTTAAAAAAAAAGAGAGAGACAGAACTGTCATGACAAGGAACCAGGAAAAGTGGTTCTTGGGAAATAAGGTATGAACTTTAATTAAAAGGAAATTCCACTTAAATATATGTGATTGCAAAGAATGCCACAAAGAGGTGTGGTTCTTATGAACAATTAATATACTGTGTTAAATAATGATGTTTCTGTAGTTTACAGCATGTTAACTAGTTTCAATGTTTTCAGGAAAGGGGACTAGTATAAACATTTGCCACATCAAAGATAGCAATCTATATACTGTGAAAAGCCCCTTGTAAAGAAATGACTAATAAACTTATCTTATCTTATCTTATCTTATCTTATCGTAGAAAGATAAATAACATGGACAGTTGGGAATTATACTAGTATGTGGATATGTCCAGTGATGGAACTCCTTATCTTGGCATTTTATATTACGCCCTAGCAAGCCTGACAATAAAAAGCTGAATTTGTTTTAATTCCTATTACGTTCTCTTTTTGTTTGTTTTGGAAACTGAAGAAGAGTAAAGGTGTTTTTAATGGAGTTTTAGTTATGTAACACACAGGACAGTGCATTACATAAATTGGAATCTGAAACACGTTACCAGCACCATGAAGTAAAAAAGAACATTACTCTCGAGCTTTTCTGGTTCCTACCATGAGATTTTGTGCGATTTCCTGTGTGTAGCTGAATGAGTAATAATGCGTGTGCATGCCCTGCCTTGTAAAAATACACATGAACTCATTTGTGCATGTGTGCCAGGTGACACAGGTATGGTTCTGTTGTGTTTCTATGGGATAGAAAGTGCTGTGTTTACCCCAATCGTGTGTCTTAACAATGCCCCCATAGAGATAATGCATGTGTGGAGTGTTTGTGTGCATGGGTGTGGGTTTCCCTTATCCACCGAAAGAATGATTTATGTGCTAGCAGTTGAAGGTGTAAACACAGACAAGTCTGCACACACACACACACACACACACACACACACACA